CAGACACAGGCATCACCTCTTTTCCCTCCCTGCCACAAGCATAAACATAAATTAATATACTTTATATAATGCAAATAAATCTAAAGGTTTGCTAAAATAAATAAAAAAACACAGTATGCTACATGTTTTTCTTTTAAATTTGTAATATTTAAGCCAAAAGAGGAAAGTGTATGCATTGTTTACCTGAGGCCTGCTACCCCTCGAACAACCAGACTGTCACTGGTTAGAGTTCCTGTTTTGTCAAAACAGCAAACTTCTACTTTCCCAGCAAATGGAATCCTGAAGGGCTCTGTGCAGAATACATCTAAGCAGGAGTAGAAAAAAACAGGTATTACATAGTTTGTACTTAAAGAGTSTTGTTCCACTTCTTGCAATAAATATTCTGCGTTCAAGCAGAAAAATAGCACAACCATACTTACAAAGCTTAGCCAGGGCAATAAGAGACGTGTTAACAGCTAGAGAAAGCTCTATAGGGAGTTCTGGTGGAACCACTGAAGTGAGGATAAGTGTGCACTCTAGGAAGAGCTTGTAGCGATTTCGGCTGGCATCTTTGGTCCCTGAGGACGTTACATACAATACCAGAAGATTTCTTTAGCAATGTATTTACATTTTAATTATACTTATTAGTAGTGATTTTGACAAAAGTTACATCATTCATAAACAGTAATTATATTTTTAGAAACTGGTCCTGTGTGCCTCACCTTCTACCCACACATATACAGCGGCAGCAATGGCAAACACAAGCAGGAACAGAATGAAGATGAAAGTCTCCAAGTTGTTTGCTGTCACTCTCTTCACACCAAAGAGAATGGTCCTTAACAGTTTACCCTAGAAGCATGTTTGTCAGGACACACAGTATTGACTCAGTATAGATTTTACAATGTGTAGAAAGGTAGAAACAAAAAAAAATCAACATGGAAATATTAATTTTACCTGAGAGGTATAGAATCCTGTTCTTAGTACGTAGGCCACACAGCCATTGTCAACAGCTGCACAAAAAAATTTAAGAGAATTGTAGAACACATTTTGCAAAAACAACACACAAATTTAACAGCAAACAAATGTTCCTGTTATATGAATGAAATAAGGAATTTTCACTTACGCTTGAGTCCAGCACTGGTCTTTAAAGGGGGAGTGTGCTGGACCACTTTTGTCCCACCAGAGATGACATGGAGACGAGAGTCTGACTGAAGGTCCAGAATACGCTCTGGATCTAAGTCTTCCACTGGCTCCTGCACACATTATGTCATGAACGTTTGTGTCACTGATAGAGCTGCCACAAACTATTATTTTTMTAATCGATTAATCTTCGATTATTTTTTCGATTAGTCGACTAATCGGATCATACGTTAATTGAATATAAAACATACAGCTTATCGTGCCAGAATGCAGCTGCTATTATATAACCATCATTGGATTTTAACTATATGCTAACAAAAAAATAATTGCTGTGGAAGGCAAGTTCTGCTCTGCAGATATTACACAGGTTTCTCTTTCATTTTCTTAAAATGATCCCACACTTTGAGCTCTGTTGTCAGGTAGCCATGATACCAGAGCCTGTCTGTATAATGTCTTGTGACGTCCACAGCCTACCCNCTGTGCATGTGTGTCAAGGACAGAAAGGCAGATGTGGCAGTGGAAGGTGTCAAAGCAGTTTGGAGAGAAAAACAAAGTAAAGAACAACAACAACAAAAAAGAAAACGATTAATCGATTATTAAATTAGTCATCGACTATTTTAATAATCGATTAGTCGTCGATTAATCGACTAATCATGGCAGCCCTAGTCACAGACGAGGAACGTGCAATCAAACAGTGTATCAAACAATATCCTAATTACTAACCTTCATCTGTGGCACAGACTCTCCAGTTAACATGGCCTCATCCACAATACAGCGACCTCTGAGTAGCAGCACATCACATGGTACTAAGTTGTCCAGGGGCGAACGTCCTATGAAATTAAAACAAAAATAATCATTTCAAGCAGATAAAAAGTCAAGATGATGCTTGCCTGAGACGATCTGAAATGTAGGACTGGATGCTTACCTATTGAGACGATGTCTCCAGGGACGAGTTCATCACTGGAAATAGGTCTCCACTTTCTGTTGCGATACACCTGTCACAAAGTACATCCACTTATTTTAGTATGCTTGAAGGAATACACTGATTAAACAAAATATTATGACCATCCCTGCCTTATTTGCTGTTGGTTCCTTACYTGATGCTAAAATAGCTTTGATCCCGTGAAGCAATGCCCCAAATATTCAAAAGAATTTGAATTTCAAAGTTTGAATAAATCTGTACTTTGTCTTTTTACCGCACTAATCCTACCATGTAAAAGTCACACAAGACTTTAAAACTGCCCTTTTATCACACATAAAACACACTGATTAAAAAAATGCTCCATAAATTATGATTCACAAAAGACTTGAACATATTATGGGAAAATAAAATGTTTTTCCTAACCATTCATAAATAATTAATAATTTTAGTAAAAAAAAAAAGAGTCTATTTGAATAACAAACAGTTTTTATACCTTAAACAATAAATTATATAAGTAACATATTTTTTTATTTGATCAAGCCTACCTGGATCATGTAGGGTTTGTTTCCCATGCGGCGAATCTCTGACATATTCCTCATTTGCTGTTGAACTAGAGAGGCCTCAAAAGCAACCAACATGAACAGTGTAAAAACACTGTAGTACCAGTACTCGTCCAGACACCACAGCCCCACACAGAACACCTGACGAATGTAGAAAGTAGAGTAGATAATTTTATACGTTTCTTTATTTTTTTTCTTTGGAAATATCACCAAATAAATCTTTCTAACAATGACTGTTAATACAAGCTCGTACCTGGAAAACAAAAAAGGGAGCTGTTGCCCTCTCTTTGAAAAGCTCAAGAAAATCTGGCACAACCATCTCGGCACGATTGGTCCCATATTGCTTTTCTGCTGCTCTGAGCTCRCCCTCTTCTTGGTAGCCACGCCATGACTGAAAGTAGCCCATTGGGTTGCTGATGGGAAATGCTATTGGAAGGAAACGTTTCTTCTCTTTGAAGTCAAAAATGTAACGGATCTTTTGAAATTCAAAAGATAGGATCCTTTCCCCATTCTCATCCTGTTAATTAGAACAAGACACAAAAAATGTGAGCTGTGCTCTTCCTTTAGAGATTTAAAAAAATGTTCTTAATTGTGAAAACACGTAGATCTACGTCAGATGTGACCTAACCTGGTCCCTCTGTAGTGTGACAAGTTCAGCAGAACCGTTATTGGGGGTGGGAATGACCTTTGCCAGCGTAGCCACACTTGAATCTGGCTCCTGTATTGACAAATAGATGACAAATTCACGCATTTTAAAGAGGACATAGTTATTTTTGCTACAATCTACAAACATTTGCCCTTCTTAAATGTTACATGAAGTGAGAAATGGCTACTTGTTTAGTGTAAACATTAGGCACATTCACGAAACAAATGATTAAAAATTATTTGTGAATTGAGTAAAATTTAGTGACTTGTATTATGAAGTGCAAATAACGCAAAATCAAAAGAAAACAAAAAACAATAACAAAACAAAAACAAAAAAAACAAACAGAAAATCCCCTTTACAGCAGCAAGTGTGGTTGAGTCTTATCTGGGTAACTTTGGTGCAAAAGTGCAGACAAGCAAGAAAAGAAGCCTGCATTGTTTTTATAACACACAATGCTCATTTTAAGATTGAGATAACACAATCACTGTTCTGGTGCTGCTCTACAACACAGTAAGTARCAATTCAGGGAATTCTTAAGTTAAAACACATTTTTATAGCTCTGATTCCAACCCCTTACATTGGTTTTCTCCTGCAATTTTTTATTTAGTGTCCTTTTTTTCTTATTAAAACATTACTCCCATTAAAGTGACTGAATAAAACAATTATTACTAAATTCTAATTGATTTTCTATACTTTGTCTAAAAAATATCCAACACTGTGTAGAATATAGAGGACAGAGTATTCTGGTGTATTTGAACCACACAGTTATCTGATGGATTAGGACCCCTGCACCTGGACCCACTGTGTTCTGACCTCTACGTAAAAGAAGGGAACATACAGCCTGAGGGAAAACAGTTGTGTCCATTGGGACAACAGCACAATATGACGATATAATTCATAATAATTGTTATTATTTACCTTGGAACAAGTGAGCCAACAGTGCGCGTGCACAGACCAATATCCAGAAAGGGCTGTAAGGACGTGCGCGATCCCGATAGCTGCTAACGCAAGGAGGCCTGCCTCCGGATACTCGGCGGCACCGTACACTCCTAACCACRCATACAGCCATCCCGGGTAGAGAACAGCCAGAAACGGGAGGACAGTTCCATGCAGCAGTCGCGGTCTTCGTCTGTACAGCGTCACGGAGCTCACCARCTCGTCGCCGGTGCCGCTGTCATGCTGGTTGTGGTTCACAGAGGGGGCCATTTGCAGCTCACCCGGTCCTCGGACTCCGTCTGCAACCATACACCCGTCTTTCTTGGTATCGTTCATTGTTTCCTGCTCACTTCTTTGGCCCCCTCTATCATCTACCGCCACCCCGTCGTCCTGTAGCCGGTAAAAATACGATTATACACACGAATCGGTGTGCTGTCCTGCCTTCAGAACCCGTTTACCAGATCGCCGTTCTCCAACCGAAGCTTCCGTATACGTAATACGTAAAGACACGTAATAAAAAAACCCATAATTTTTCCTGTCACGCGGTTAAATTATGTCTATATTAAAATTCCTATCAACTAATAATGGTTGCTGAAATATATTTTAAAAATCGTTTTTACATGTTAAATTATGTCTATATTAAAATTCCTATCAACTAATAATGGTTGCTGAAATATATTTTAAAAATSGTTTTTACATTTTAAATTGAGTGAATAAAAATGATATTAAGACGTCACAAAAAGGGTGTAAACAACAATGTGACAAACTTGAATGTCAACCAATAAAATTTAGGAACGTCATCACAATGGGACATTTCCATCCAATCAGGTGTAGCTCTACCTATTGTAGCTTTACACGTACAGAGTGGTTTCACGCCGCTATTTAAAGAGCTTCTTCGTTGGACAAAGCTTCATTCAACAAAATGTAAGAGTTTTGAATGCATTTAAAATTAGCAACATCTTAATAATATTTTCACTATGCTAACTCTAAAATGTTAAGGAAATGTTTCGCTTCCCTTACAAAAGCAGAGTTATCTCTGTGACCCTAACCCTGCCACTTAGCACGTTTGTTACGTAGATGTCAAATACAAATAGGTTGGACCAGTTTGTAATAACCATGTGTTTATAATCCGTTACTTTTAGGCAAGCTGCTATGGATATATCGGCAAAATATTGCCAAAAAGAACTGGAGGCTTATGGGTCTTGTGTAGCTTCAAACCCATCGAAATGGCAGCAAAAGTGTCATGAACTAAAAGCGAAGGTCGCAAATTGTACATCCTCACAGTAAGAGAACTTATCTGCTCACATTTCTTTCAACCAGTAATATGACTTTGGCATACTTGCATATTTAAAAGATATTTGTGGTTTTCCCTTAAATGTTTTCAGTCCAGTGATCCAGAAGATCAGGAAAGACTGTTCCCATGAGTTTGTGAAATTTGAACAATGCCTGGCTGAAAACCAGGATGCACCTACCTCTTGTTCAGCTCACATCTCTCGCTTTCTGGGCTGYGCAGAAACAGTGGACCTCAGCGGAGTATGTAAGTTATTACTGGAAAAGTCATTTGCATTTCAAGGTCACTAACCAGAAGCTGTTAATAAGAGTACTAAAATGTTTAAGATGTGGCTTTGCAGGATATTTATTCATGTATTCATGTTCTGTTTATGCTGTATAGTACTGGATGTACTGAAAATTTCTGTTTTAAAATCTCATTAACAAAAATATACGTTCTCAAAATGGTTCAAATTATGAACACGTTTCTAATATACCAATTTCCTTTTTTTTCCAGCCAAAAATCCATCATCATAGAGTCAACATATTGTATCTTTAGATCTTATCTTTGTCCTCAGCAATACAGAATGGATAATTTTACATCCAGCGACTCCATCATGTCATTGTATGTACAGTTAATGTTTAAATACCTGTTCTTAAGAAGTCCATATGTAACTAAAAAATTATAAGAACTAAAGGGTTTAAGATTTTAGTGGAATTTGTACTTTGTCATTCTGTTCTATTAAGCATCATTGAAATGGAATTTTTGTACTTTCCTTTTTAATAATAAAGTATGGTTTGCTCATTTTGGGGTTTGTTCTTTTTACTAGAACATTTTACTACATTACCTTCTGTTACTCATTTGGTGCTAACATCATCTGCTGTTTTTAGGTTGTTAGTATCTATTCCCCTCACCGTTACTTTCTTCAGGTCTGAGTCATAGTCAAACATTAAACTGGAATGTATTTCTCCCACACAAATTCTACTGACTATTCAGTGACTGAGAAATAGGGAGTCTGGGAAGAAAGGAAAAAGAGGAGGTTGTTCACCTCTAATCAGCTGGACTACTGAGAGAGACAGAGGGAGGATGTTGAGTTATGAACTCTGTGACCACTGAGCAGAACAGACACTTTCTGGTTCAGTTATCAATGCTTTTCGGGGAAGTAACCAACAGTAAATGCATTTCTTTATTTTGAAGTGTATCATTGGTTCATGTACGTATAAGCAAGTGATCAGAGTATCATCATTTATTGGACTTCGAACAAATAAGGCAATTTTACTTCAAAGATAAAACAGCAGTTTGTATTGAAGATACAGCAACGAATTCAAAGCACATCACCTTGCAGTCACTGAACATAATAGTAAGTTAAGAACTCATCTAATACCACACAAATAACTTACATTCACAATAACATCACTGTAAAAACACCATGAGTCAGTTATCAGAATCAAATATAATTTCATAAAAGAATATCTCAGGCTGTAGCTGATCACCAACATCTAAATGATATGGGTATCATTCTAATCCTATTTTATCCTGCACCACTGGATGAGTCTATTCTGAAGCTTTTAGCAACAACTGCTATCCAAATTAAAATCGGAGGCTAGTTTCTATAAASCTACTTCATGGTACTTAAATATCATGCTGTAGTTTAAATATTTGATTATCACAGAAGGTACAAAATGTCTACCCAATAGTATTATTACATAGYGTGATTTCAACAATTAATTTTAACACAGTCATACATTTACATTTGGAAAACATCATCATGGACTCATTGTCCTAAATTTGGGGCATTGTACATCTTTTGGTTGTATTTTGCTACGCTGTTTCTTGCTGATTACACAATAAAAAGACAAACTAAAGCATTTATCACCTATATGACCCTGTTTCTGCATAAGGCTTTTTGAATGACCCTGTAGTGTCATTTAGTACCTTTTTTTTACCRTTTCAAAATAAGATTTTTGGTCCACAACATGCATCAAAAACTAAGGATATAGTCTGGAATAATAATTTGGAGARTTTCTTTTGCTTTGTTTTCTGCGTTTCAGAAGTCAAAGGAAYATTACATTGTCATCCTCTGTAGCACAATTTCCTGAGTTGAGCCTCAGGTTACACAAACATACACACAAACCTGAGAGCAAAATTGTTGTCCAATCCATATACATCAATGTATATGATCCAGTCACCTACGGTTATTGAAACGTGCCTTGGCAAAACAAGTTTTGCAACGGCACAATTTAGACCCTTGAGCTGTTCCTAACTGCCAAGACTCATAAATAAACGTAACGTCAACTCGCGCATCGATAGGTAGCCTATAACTGTCGTAATTTGATTTTTTGTTAGAAAGTGCCATGAAATACATCACACTGAATATAAGTACTACAGAAGAAACAAAGGTTCATTATCTTGAACATTTACAGTGATTCCAGCATGTGATTCCTTTTCAGCAAAGCAAGTGGGAACAAAATGCCAATCAGTATAGAGATAATACAACTCAGGGCGATGTTAGCCAGTGGAAAAAAAAGCTGGGAAGTATGTTCGGATCTAGCATGTTTAATTGAGAATGGTCCCACAGGCATGTTGATGGACAGACTCCATTAGCTGCATCTCTGAGGTGAAAGGTGGGACAGGAGGGGGGAAAGGGTCACAGTTTTATAAGGGTCAGGAGGTGAAGTAGGAGTTTTGCATGGAGTAGAGACGGTCGATGGGGTTTCCCACTCGCCCGGCTAAAAGACCACCTTCGCCTGTTGCTAAGAGACAGTCGCCAAGGTGACTGAGGCTTCCGTCACTATCCAAATCATGGAAGACTGTCTCCGAGTCTGCAGAGACAAAGAACAAGAACGTGGATGTCTGGACTGTGTATTGAGTAAACACAAAGGAWATGAAACAAAAACTAAATCCCACATCAGTGAAGGCGGGAATCTAATGAAAAAGTAGATCTTTTCCAAAATTTGTTGCTTTAATTATTTGTCTCACCRTAGGAGTGGAGCTGCTCACTGTTAAGCTGAGGTGGTGTGAGCCCGTGTCGGAATGGCTCTCCTCCGTAGATGTTGGGGTCCAGGGCGAGGAGCTGCTGACGTGGCAGAGATGGATACCCCAGCAAGCCGTCCATGCCATGAGTACTAGACCCATCTGTGAATGGAAAACTTCTTGTTAACTTTGTTYTTAATTTCATTTTCTTTGGATTCTGTTTGCCTCTTACCCTCGCTGTCATCGTTGCTTTGACGGCCCCCTCTGCTTGGTCCTCTCCTGGTCCCTCCCAGTTGCTCTTGTTCCTGCTGTTGCTGCTGCTGCTGCTGCTGTCGACGAGCAATCTTTTTCATCTTGGGGACAAAATGAGGTGCTTTAGGAATTTTCTATTTGAGTAAAATACGTGAGACAGAGTTTGTCTTTAAACATGAATAAAAATCTAACCACCTTGGCTCTTTGGTTTTGAAACCACACCTGAACAACTCGTACCGTCAGCCCAGTCTCAGCAGCCAGCGTCTCCCTCACCTGCAGGTGAAAGATTGTCTTGCATTTAAACAAACTTGATTAAATGCTTTACAGATTGAGAGCTAGAAGAACAATGAACTTTGATAGGAGAGTCGAGAAATGTTTTTTTAATTATTTTTTTGGAATGCATTTCCTCTGATAAGCTGATCCACCCACCTTCCGGCATGGCTTAGCTGATACTTCAAAGGAGGCCTTAAAAGCTCGCCGCTGCTGTGTGGTCAAGATGGTGCGTGGTCGTTTTGAGCGCTTGTGCTCCTTGCTCTCATCGCCACCTTTTCCACCACCGGAGCCTCCACCACCGTCTTCATCCTCACTTTTCACTGAGCAAGAAAAGCAGATAACAACAGTGTGTGCCTGTGAGATGAGGTCTGTAAAAAAGGAAAAAAAAAATAATAACTGAACTAATATGTTCAGCTGTCTGGATGCACAAGATAAACAAAGCATATTTGAAATAATTCAAAATGCAAAAGTTGTCTGTTTGGCACATTTAAATAATGTTCATGAACTAGAAACATATGTTCTACATTCTAATTACAATTTTAGGTGTTAAATATTGAATGTATTTTTGTTTTTAAGATTTTTGTTATTATGATGATGTGTTGCCATTAATTTCCCAAATGATCATTAATCTGTAGAGCCTGTCTACATATTTGCTGCTTACTGATGTGGGACATCACTAAGCAGACAAAATTAAACTATAATTTTTCCCCTTYGAGGTGCTACTAAGCGATTGATTAGAATTAGCTGCACTGATAGATATGCCAATGAAATTTGAAGGATCATTTCTCTTAAAAAAAAAGTAATTTTGTTTCTGAGAAGAGTTTTTGTGGTTTAAATACAAACACTACCTGATTCAGTCGGTGTGGGACTAATAGCAGCCAACATTTCCCTCTCCTTTTCATAGTCCATGCGACAGAGCAGCTGGCCTTCTTTCAGCACAAACTCATCACCTCTCTGCAGTCGGCGTTCACACTCACAGCAGCTGAAGCAGCCCAGGTGGTACACCTGGCCCAGGACCCGCATTATCAGCTCAGAGCGTCCAATGACCTGCAGGCAGGCACTGCACTTCCTTACAAAGAGCCTGGAGGAATGCAGAAACACAAACGTATGTTCTTTTATGTTTACACTTATWTATGTCAGGAAAACTGCGAAGGATGAGGCAACTCAAGACGAAGGCTTAAACAGGTAGCTCTGACCCATTTACCCTCAGCTCCAATTAAAATGAAGATTRGAATAGTCTCTTAATTAAAGGCTGTCTAGGCATTACCCAATTCACAGTGCAACAAGGTGAACATCTGTTAAGATGAGTTACAGTCGTTTGTTCTGTTTTCTCCTTCACGACAGGAGATGGCAGTAGTGAGCTTGTAATCTTGTGTATTTTCCTTCTGTGTTGAGAACTTTKAAATCCTAGCTTAAACATATATCAACCATGATCTGAAAGTACATATTTGACCCCATCAATTAAGCCATAAAATAGTCTAAAATCTTTTCCCCATGACCAATTACATTTTTCTTTGCTCTTGTTTCATCCTGTGATTTAAAAACCCTTCAGTTTCTCTCCTGCATCACAATCACTTCACATCCCTATTTCTATTCACAGAGTCCACGTCTCTATCTTCAAATTCTTTTCAAATCCTTGTTCTTGCACTTGGTTTACCCCCCCCCCCCCCACTGCATTTTCTGCCAGCATTCCCAGTTTTCCCTCATGCCCTCCCAGCCTGCCTCCCCAGTTCACTGAAACTAATAAAGACAGGATTAATTAGATTGTTGTTTAAACAGTGAGATGGCCAGACAGACGCTGTAAACTCATAACCAGGGATTGGTGATAGCATGGGGTTAATCTCTTTCCTCTCACTTATGCACACAAAACACACACACAAACACAGGTACTCACACATGCATGCACATACACAGACATTTGTATATGCACCTATTGAACATTTCTAACTTATCCTGCTGTTGGATATTTTTGTATTCAACATACCAAAACCTATCGTCACATTAACACACCTGCTGTCAGGAAAGGCTTTAGACAAACAAAAACATCAGCCCATTAATTCACAAGGAAAAAATATTTACCAGTCAGACACATAAATAAAGATACATTAACAGATAATAATCCTCACAACAAAACCTAAAGCATAAGGGAGGATAAYTGAAAAGTGGTAACAGGTAAAGTAGAGGATGGAGGTTGAACTGTTGAAGCTCCCTGAGTGATAAGAAGGTGTTGCCGCCCAAATCTGGAGTGTGAAGATGGAGCCAGGTCTGCACATTAGAGCTCCTAATCTRTGATTCCGTCCCAAACGCAGCTGCTGCAGCTAATCTTTCTCAATCCATCTGCCAAACGCTCTCCAAATTCCCCAAATGACAGTGTCCCCAACTTGATATCAAAACGTAAATATCAGTTCTCCTATAAGCAGAGTTACGCAACTTTATTTCCAAGATCCTTGCGACTAACTAAATTGACTAATTTATTTATTAACAGAAGTATCACCAAAGCTATTTCAATTGTAAAAGAGCCAACGTGTCAGTTGTAGCGTGTGATATTTAAAGTTTCTGCCACAAAAGAGACGAATCAATCACCCTGCTTTGTGCAGTCTCACTTTCCATCTGAATACACACTTCAGCATCTTAAATAGTTGCTTTCACTGTGAACAAGGCTCAACAGATCAGAACTGTCAGGGCTGCTTGACACAAGACTGATGCTGTTGGTGGTTAAGTCTCAACCTCCCTAATCAGCGTGTACACAGCACGATAGAAATTTACTCAACATGGCACATGAAGGCAAGTTGGGGTAACTGCCACAGAGGGGGGTCTGTAAGTAGATCAGTCTAATCCCTCTAATAGAAGTATCATTCACACATGCTTGTGTCTAGGGTGCAGCGAAAAAAATTCACCACAAACTTGATGATAAAAGCGACCGTGCAGTCTGGAGAGGAGGTAGTCTGAATTTGCCATGACCAAAACAAAAATGCCCACGTTGTATTATTTTATGCAAGTTTTTGAGTATCTAAAGCTACAAATATTTATTAATTTAAAACATTTGATATAGTTTGCCATAAACTGTTTTAGCAAAGATGGAAGGAAATGCTTTGGTTTTCTTTTTTGCTTTAAATTGTCTATATATAAAATGTGTTTACAGCCACATGATTGAGAAAAATAACTCCGTTTTGTGACCTTTAATCAAGCAATATGCCTTGTTTGTTGTTACCGCAAAGAAAAAAAAAAGATGAATTAATCGTCTGTGATGTGCACAAAGACTGTAAAATGTTTCTGTTCAGCGCCATGGATTTCGGGAGGTTAGAGAGTATGACTAAATATAAGCTCCATGATTTTATGAGATCAAATTTAGAGGCAGAGAGAGGTGCTGAATTGTATAGTATTGATGCAAACATGTCTTTTCTCTTTGTATTACCATAGATCTCAGGCATACAAACAGAATAACAGAAGCTTTGTCATCTTTCTAAGCTGTGTCATGTGGCAGTGTTTTGCCTGTGAGCTCTGACAAGTTTAACATTGTCTGGACTGGAAAACAATTGTTTYCGTAAAGATGTACGTGCCTCTCAGAGCATTTATAGCATTGTGCGTCTCGGTAAAGTCGTGATCAATATTTAAACAGGTATAGGTTTAGTTACACAACGTATGGGTTCAGTTTGATTTGGTTTTGTCATAAAGGAGCTCCGAAGACTAACTGTGAAACTGTGGCTCATCGAACATTTATTACCATCATTAAGTTTGAAACCTGACCCATTATTTAAAAWATATATATTTATTATCAAAGGGCGATACGCTGAGATATTGATCTTTTGATTCCCTYGCTCTGCAAAATGTGACGCACAAATGTTGCTCCCTGAAAATGAAGGTACGACAAAGGATTCAGAAAATAAATGCAAAAGAAACAAACGATATGCATCAATCTTACTTTTAAGTTGAATTTCGTTTTGTATTTCTTGGATATGTGCATGTGTGTGTGTGTGTGCGCTTTTGTGTGTGTATGTACATATGTGTGCACACTTTTGGCGGATATTGCTCTGTGGAGCAAAATGGCTCAGAGCCAGGGTTCAGTAATCACATCATCTCCTTTTATTAAATCTCCCTGCGCTGCTTCTGTGTTATTAAAATCTCCCAGCATTCCCCACGATACTTGCCACCCCGCCACCACTCACTCACACAGACGTTACAAACACGTGTGTACGTTTGTGGGTCTGTATGTGTATGCACGTACATGCATGTATGTATTTATACAGCGCTGTCTTGCGTACACACAGGTTGCCATTTATCACATCACTCATACGCAATTATGTGCAACAATTAGTGCACAGTGTGAACACAGATGAGGTGAAAGGGTAAAGATGCTGTTAGCTGTGCACTATACCTATCTGTGAATATKAGTCTTCTTTCTCAGAGTGTTGTCCAGCATTTGGAGAAAATGTTACCTAAAGGCTGTGAGAACAGTCACTATGGAACACATCTCACATTTTGCAGAGACATACAGACAGTCCCACAGTTATACGGTTACACATCATGACTCTGATTCTAAACTGTTCACCCTAGTGTTCATAACCAGCTCTGTTGGATAGCAGCACTGATACTTAAAATATTCAACTTCTACCCAGTGTAAAGTAGCCACCAAAAACCTGCATGACGTGCATGAGCTGTGTCTCTGCTTGTGTGTGATCTATAGCTAATGGCACCAAGAATGAATGCTATGTGTCAGGATATAGATGTGTGTTTGTGAGTGTGAGTGAGAGGGTGTGTGTGTGTTAGTTTAGATAAAACAGTTAATCCCCAGGCCACCAGAACGCAATATCCTGTCTGCCCGTTTCTCATTTCCTGTCTGACTCTGGCGGAGCGGGAAGCAGCAGGGAGGGGGTGGCGGGGGACAACGGGGCCCGGCCGTTACCTCAGAAACAGGAGATACAGCAGGTTGATTTGAGGAAAGTCTATGCCAATCTCCCTATCTCTCCCTCTCTGATGCAACCCCCTATTCTCACCCTCTTTTCCCTTCTCTCTCTCTCTCTCTCTCTCTGCTTTTATTATCTCAGATTTAATAAAGCAGAGGCGAGCAGCTTGTTCTGCCATGAAACATTTATTAGCTGTCTGTTATAAAATTGTTGTGGGGGAGGAAAGATGACGGGGTCTCATCTCAGATTATGCAAAATTAGTGGCAATATTACCCCCACACATAGACACATTGATGCTCCAGATAAAAAAAAAAATCAACCTCTATGTATGGTTGTCCCTCTTTAAAACTCTCCACCTCATCTTTACCTTGTTCATTGTGAACCTGCTCTCCATCGCTGCAAGCTCTCTTCTAAGTTCCTTTACTTGTTTAATCAAATTTGGTGTTTTTCAACAGCTCATAATCAAAACAAAAAAATTTCCCCTGTGCCCACTTTTTTCATCTGCTGCAGCGTCAACTATCATCCGTTGAGCTGCAGGTGTAGTTAAGGAACGAGGATGGTGCAGACATGTTTTAGAATATGGATCGAAGCAAAATGTGGAGCCTCTATCTGATGTATAGATTAGCTATCCTGGTGGATCAAAACCAGTCACTATTTGCTGAACTTCAAACACCTTTTTACGGTTTATTTTACAAGCTGATTTTTTTCTTTTAGTTGCTCATAAAAAGCAATTACTGAGATTTCTCTATCAATCTCAACAGATTCTGTAAGATGTTTTAAAGAGGGAATTTATAGCCAAATATTGAATTAAATAACAGGAATTCTAAAAAAAGGTTCCTTAGGGCTGCTTGTTTTTATTTCATCTTTCAACATTTCATATTCTTCTCCAAGATGTCTTTCAACAATATCCTTTGGTCATGGATTACTACACATTAACTATAAATATGCTTTTTGCCATTTGATTGATGTGTTTTAGAACTTATTTTTACCTAATTTGTTAAAAAGAATGTGTTCAAGAGTTAAAGAGAAGCTGATGGGAAAATGACGTTGTGATCTTTTTTGACACATTGAACAATTTTCTGTAATATCATTTCTGAGCAGCCCAGAGTCAGATCTGTCTTTTCAGGACAGCCGGAGAGCCTGGCAATTAGCACAGCTCCCAATCAGCCTCCCCACCATCTCCACTCATTCCTCTTCCGAGACACAAAGAGGCACTGAGTAAAGGTGCGGGTGGTGGGGCGATTAAGACAAAACAAGGGATAAACGGGGAGATAAACTGTTTGGTGTCATCACCGCTATCAATCTCAACAAGACGGAAATGAGGTTTTGTATACAGAAATATTATTACAAAGCAGACAGTGATGAATGAGGCAATGGATCGAGAAGCAGGGAGGGGAACGGTTGCTTGGGTGGAGGTATGAAAAAGAAAAGGAGTCCTGTACAAGATGCATTTTTTTTCAGACTGAAATTCGCATATTTAATCACAGATGTTGCATTTAAGTTCAAAGACTATGTATCTGGAGGATGAGTCCATATTTGGCAGGATTTCAGGTTTTCTTTCTGCAGTGAGAGTTCTTATATTTAGAT